TTGGTGTCTTGCTTTCTCATTTTCCCTCTCTCTCGTGCTCTGTGCCTCTCTCTGGTCAAATTAACATAAATGAATGAATACATAAAATTAAATATAAATAATTCTTTAAAAAAAAAGAAAGAAATGTTTCCAGAATTTTAAGGTACAGAAAAGATGCCCATAGCTCAAAGTTTAAAAGAAAAGAAAACCAAAAACTTTTAAAAGAAAAACAAAAATTTTTTCTAAGAATTATTTTACAGTAGTTAGTGTAATGGCTATGTCGCTAAACTCCCATGTAGTTGACTGCAGTTCGAGTCCCAGACCCGGTGGCTTAAACTCACACCAGGCGCATGTGCGTGCGTGCCCAAGAACCCGAGAGGAGAATGGAGGAGAAGGGATTGCAGTGTGGCCATCCCCCTGGGAGGGTGATTTCTCGCTTTCTATCTCTCTGTCTCTCTCTGTCTTTCTGGAGAGCACACACACCCTATGGCAAAAACCTCTCTGCAAAAAAAAAAAAAAAAAGATAATTATTTTATTTAACTTTATTTATTTTATTTGCTTACTTATTTTAATTTGACCAGAGAGAGACAGAAGAGAGAGAGAGAGAGAAAGAAAGTAAGAAAGCAAGCCACCAGGTCCGGGACTCGAACTGTGGTCGCCCATGTGGGAGTCCAGCACCCTTAACTACCACGCCACCTGCCAGCCCCCCAAATTTTCTTTTTAAGAAAAGTTAAAGGAAAACATTTTTGCCAGCCCTTTTCTGGCAATCATTTTTATTCTTTATTTTAAGACCAAAAATGTCCCATAATTGTCCTGTACTCACATTTCAAATATCGACTCAGAGCACTTGCAGTATTTATTCCTCTCCCTTCCCTATCCCCAGGGTGAAGTAGGGCCTGACACCCTCCTGAGCTGGTCACTATAAAGTACATTACCTTCCATGAGGTGACCAAGAGGCAAGGAGGCACAGCTCCACATCAGGGTCTTCCCAACTCAAGGACTAAGATCACCTTCCCTCATTGAGACACCTCCATAATGCAACATCCAGGGGGATTAAGCCAGATCACCTGCCTTCCCCAAAATGAACTTCCCCTAAATCAATCCAAGTACACAAACTCACTAGAAGAGATATGCAAATCAGGTAAATTACAGGTCCACAGTGTCATGTTACTCAATTACCTTGGCATGGAATTGAAACAATGACCAAACTCTCAGTATCTCAGAGCAATCAAGTCTCTCCTCTGCCCTTTGGTCAAGGCTGGGCAAAGCTATTTTATTCGAATACCAGGGCATTCAAATATCAGCTTAAAAACAACAAATACTGATACAAATATCAGTTTTAAAACAATAAGACTAACAAAAAGAGCCCTTTTCAGAAAAGTCCTTAGCCCAACTCAAGTTCAAGCAAAACAACTCTCGAAGCCACTCAACGACCAACTTACCTGCCATGGATTTGTTCATAAAGATGTACTGACTATCCTTCTTTCTCAGCTTATTTGAATGTGCTTTGGATGTCTATTGACATACAGTTCTTTTTGTTTCCTTTCTTTATATAATTAATATGTATTTGATGCAAAAAGAAAGAAATTAGGCCAGTCCTGTAGCCTAGTAGCTAGGAGAGTCAGAATCCACATGGCTGACCATAGTTCAAAGTTCTGTCCCAATGGCATGAAAAACACTCCAAGTGTGTGTCCATGCATGCCCCAAATCCTGATGAGATAGAGAAACGGGGAAGGAACTGCAGCATAAACATGCCCCATCGCGGGTGTTTTCTCCCCCACCTGTGTCTCTCCCTGGCAAGAAAGAGCACAAGCTCTCTAATGATAAAAAAAGAAGGGCAGGTAGAGGTCAGGATAAACAAAAACCATTTATCCTAGAAATCCACCAGCCAGGGATAATCACTGATGACAGATTGATATATATAACTCTTTTTTCAAAATATATGTTCATGGCAAAAGTAGACTCATGTTATACATACTACTTTATATCCTTTTGCTTTCTTAAGATTTTTTTTTTTTTTAGGTTTTTGTCATAGGGTACATGTGCTCGCCGGAGAGAGAAAGAGAGACAGAGACAGAGAGAGGGAAAGTGAGAAATCACTCTCCAGGGGGATGGCCACACTGCAATCCCTTCTCCTCCAATCTCCTCTCAAGATTTTGGGCACGTGTGTACACGCATCCAGCATGCATTTTAAGTCACCAGGTCTTGAGACTCAAACCACATCTGGCTATGTGGGAGTCCAGCACCTTAACTACCATGCCACCCTTGGGCCCTCAATATTTTAATATTAATTAAAATATTATTAATTAATATTATTCTACAGTTGGGACTAGCAGATGGCATAATGGTTATGTCATTGGACTCCCATGTAGTTGACCGTGGTTCGAGTCCTGGACTCAGTGGCCTGAAACTCACGCCAGGTGCACGTGCGTGCGTGCCCAAAATCTCAAGAGGAAAATGGAAGGGAAAGGACTAAGGTGTGGCCATTCCCCCCCAGGGAGGGAGTGATTTCTCACTTTCTGTCTCTCTGTTTCCATCTCTTCAGCAAGTGCACATGCCCTATAGCAAAAATCTCTCTCAAAAAATATATCATTCTACAGTTATTTTTAATAGCTACTTACAGTTTCCTCTTTCTTTTTTCTCCTGCCCATTTTTGTCATAGGGTGCATGCATTCGCTAGAGAGAGACAAAGTGAGAAACCTCTTTCTGGGGAGATGGCCACACAATGATCCTTTGTGCTCCATTCTCCCCTCAGGATTTTGGATACACATGCCCCACATGATTTTCAAGATGCTGGGTCCGGAACCTGAACCAGGGTCAGCCACATATAAGTCTAGTGCCTTAACCACCACGCCACCTATTTCTTTTTTTAATGAACTTTTTAAAAAAGATTTTATTGGAGATCAACAGATGGTGTAATTAACGGTTACGTCACTGGACTCCCACATAGTGGACCGCAGTTCAAGTTCCAGACCCAGCAGCTTAAAACTCACATCAGGCATCTGTGCACATGTGCCCAAGATCCCAAGAGGGGAATGAAGGAGACGAGACTGTGGTGTGGTAATCCCCTTGAAAAGTGATTGCTTGCTTTCTGTCTCTCTGTCTCTCCAGTGAGTGCATGTGCCTTATAGCAAACAAACAAACAAACAAACAAAAACCAAGGGTTTATTTATTTATCCCTTGAGTGGGATAGACAGAGAGACAGATATATATATATGAGCTCCCCCACAAAGCAGCTTGAAACTCACGCTGGGTGCCAGGTCTCCGTGCAGTGATCCACCCCTTGGCCTCGGCCATCCTGGGCCATTGATACATGCACACCCAGCGTACTCCAGGAGTCTCCAGATGTGAACCAGCAATCTTCCCACGTGGGTCTGCCTCGCAGAACAGCGAGTTTTACCACTGCACCATCATACAGCCTCACAGTTTTCCCTTTTTTTTTTTTTTAATTTTTATAATTTGTTATAGAGCATGCATGCTCACCAAAGAAAGTCAGAGAGAGAGAGAGAGAGAGAAAGTGAGAAATCACCCTCAGGAGGGATGAGCATGTCACAATCCCTTCTCCTCAACTCTCCTCTCAGGATTTTAGACACACATTCACACACGCATGTTTTTCAAGCCACCACGTCCTGGACTCACACCCCACAGTCAGCCATGTGGGATCCAACTGCCTTAACCACCACACCACCCGGATGGTCCAGTTTTCTCTACCTCTAAAACTCCCAGGAGCTCTAACATTTGTCCTGTTTTCTTTCCTCCTTCTCTCCTACATGTTCCCCAGTAAGAACAGCACAACTAAAGGGTTAACAGCTTCCTCCGATGAGTACGTCCTAAACACATTCCGAGAACTCAAGTCCTTCTTGTTTGCACTTTCCATAGCCATGATCTCATTCATCCCATACGTTTGTTAGATGACCGGAAATAAATCATTACACTTATTCTACCTCCACTACACCCCAAAGCAGGGCCGTGTATTACCACCAAGTCTATGGTGTGTCTGCCTCACAACCCATGACATGTAATTCAAAATGCAAATGAAGCAGAAGCGAGCAGGTCATGTGGTGGTTACGACGCTGGACTTCCACATGGCTGACCGCCGTCCAAGGCCTGGACCTGGTAGCTTGCTTCCTCACTGTTCCTCTGTCTCTCTCAGATGAGCACATGTATCCTATAGCACATTTAAAAATAACAATGATAAGTAAAATTAAATAATTCTTTAAAAAAAAAAGAGAATGCCAACAAAATAAGTCAGAAAAAGGTATGATTTTCCCCGTGAATACTACTTCATTGTTTTTAAAAATGACAAACCATTAAATTGTTTAAATTTTTTTCTGTTTTGGTGTCCCCTTGCTAATGGTCAAACACAAGGTAAGACTGCCTATTAAGAACTGTGCCCAGGGACTGAGAAAGGAACAGGTTTTTGTTCTAAGGAGTAATATGAGAGTTTAAGTTCAGGCTATAAAATCCATGTGCAATCAAAATCCCACATCTGAATTTACAGGCACAATTTTAAAAGGAAAATATTACCTATTCCACGTCGTATTGTTTATGTGGAATCTTTACGGCAAATGCTTTCTTCTGTGTTTGGAACTGTATGAAGTTTACCAAGATATTTGCTATGCTTTCGTTAGGTGACTAATTCAATAACATGACTCACACTGAGTGACTTTACTGAGGGAACGTCAAGAGACTTACTCATCGAATCTTCACACTTTGATTACGAGGGAGAATTTGCTTCAAAAAAAAAAAAACTAAACATTGAAGCCCAGGGGTGGTGGCACAGGTAAGTGGGAGCTCTGCTGCACCATGCTGGAGGCCATGTGGGAAGGCTCTGGGTTTGAATTCTGGGTCTACCTGAACACATGAGGCATGCTCATAGGTGGGCCCATGATCTTGGCTGGCTGCAGGGCTCGGGGGAAGACTGCAGAATGAAGACCCTGTCCAAGATCTTCTCTCTTTCTTATTAAGGAAGTAAATAAACTTTTTTGAAAAATTGAATGTTGGAAATGAGTGTCAACATAGTAAGATAATGATGATAGTTAAGAACCTAGGATCTCGGGGCCAGCAAGTGGCATGGTGGTTAAAGGCGCTGGACTCCCACATGGCCGACCACGGTTCAAGTTTCGGACCTGGTGGTTTGCTTTCTCACTTCCTCTCTCTCTCTCTCTCTGTCTCTCTCTGATCAAACTGGAAAATAATAATGATAATAATAACACACCAAATGCATGTTTTTACTACAGATATTATGACTGATTCTTAGCATGAAAGACACTTACCCCTAAAGAACAGTGATTAACTTAAAAATGCATGTGGCCAACTATGCTCTGAATCCCAGACCCTGTGATTTGAAAAAAACACCAGGTGCATGTACGTGCATGCACAAAATCCTGAAGGGAGGAGAAATAGGAGAATAAAAGAGTGGCATGACCACACTCCATTGGGAGGTTCTCACTCTTATCTCTCCTCTCTCTCTCTTCTCTCTCTTCTCTCTCTCCTCTCTACCCCCTCCCTCTCCCTTTCTCTCTTTCTGTCTCTCTCTCTCAGGCAAGCACACATCCTCTCCAGAATCAAAGTGCTTCTTTGGCTTACATCCCACCTTTCACTAGTAATTGGACTTATGTCTCTACGCCACTGTTTCCTCATGAAAAAATATCTTAATTGGGATTCTGTGAGGACTGAATGACTTAATATACATAAATGCTTAGCATTGCATATTGGGCCTTAACTATGTGTTAACAAATATTATTGTAATTCATCACTATTACATTTTCATAAGAGGTGCAAAACAGCAGATGGCATAATGGTTACGTCGCTGGACTCCCACAGTCAACTGCAGTGCCAATCCCAGACCTGGTGGCTCAAACCTCTCGTCAGGAGCATGTGCATGTGTGCCCAAGATGGAGAAGGGATTGGGACATGCCTCCCCTAGGATGTGATTTCTCGCTTTCTGTCTCTTTGTCTCTCTCTCTGTCTCTGTGTGTGAGCACACACACCCTATAGCAAAAATCTCTCTCTCAAAAAAAAGGTGCAAGGGACCAGCGGTTGGCATAATGGCTATGTCGCTGGACTCCCACATAGTCGACCGTGGTTCACGTC